CTGAGGCAGGCAGGGCGAGGGGGCAGGGGCTGCGGCCAACTCTCAGGGTCTGCGGTTCCCCACTGCGGGGTCCCTCAGCAGGTCGGATCTGACAGGGCACAGCTTCAGACAGGTGACATCTGGGAAGGTAAAGCTTCCAGGGAGAGGTGAGGCTGGGTGGGTGGGGAGGGGGGTCTCAGAGGAGGCAGCCCGAGAGGGCCAGCACTTGGGCTAAGGGCCGAGGCTGGAGGCTCGGCTGCTGCACATTCCTCTTCACGCAGCCTGGATGTCTCTGATACGTGTTGCAGCCCCTTCTCTTCTCCCTCTAGCCCTGTCCCCTCCTCTCTTCATCTGCCCTCTGCCTCTCCCCCTGCCAGGGCCCCGACCACTCCATCAAGCGCACAGGAGACACAGGGCCTGGGCTCACAAGACTGCTAGGGTCCCCTCCCCACTGTTTTCATTTCTTTTATAATTAGAAAGAAAAAAGTAAACTTACAGACTACAGAACATGCTTTAATATGTGATGTTAATATATTTGTCTTTATACCAATGCAGCCATAAACTACTAAGGCATAAATATAAGGTTTAGTATTTTTTATGGAGAAAGGCGAAGTGCCCAGCACCCACAGAATTCATAACGTGTCCCTGCTTTCTGCTGCCCCTCTTCCCTCACCCCTCTGTCTCTTGCTTCTCCACCTCCTTCCTTCTCTCCATCTCCTTTCCCTCCTCCCACTAACAGGGATCTTAAGCCATCAGCATTGCCTTATAGAGTCTCAGTTTCATCCTGTGCAAAACAAGCTAATAATAATAATTAATAATAATGATGATTAAGTGAAATAGCATCAAGGAAAGCTTTTGACATGGAGTGGTGTTCAGCAGCCTCACTTCCCTTCCTTTCCAGGAGGTTCTGGGATCCTGGGAGTCAGAGGCATGATTTATTTGAAAATCTTAGGGGACAGAGTCCTGGTAATGCAGCCCCTCCCTACCTCCGCCTGCTAAATGCATCATTAGGCCCTCTCTCTCCCTGTTTCTCTGAAGGGTAAATGTTTTTCTTGACCTTCTGAGAAAACTCACAAGGCGCTGATTAGAGTAGATAGATCAAATAATGCCTCTAAGTTCCAACAGAAAGAAAGCATCCGTTATGACCCGCTCAGGCAAGGGATCAGGGTGGGGAGCAAAGGCACCTCCCTGCCTACGTCAACCAGGACTAGAGACGTACTTGGCAAAGCCTAGGGCAAAATGAAAATGCAGGACCCCTTGTTCAGAAATTATTATGAATTTAAAGACAGACAGCAGAGACAAGCCTTAAACAAAGGGTGGGGCCCATCTGAGCCCAGAGCCCAGTGCTGCTGCAGCAGTTGGGAGCCCATGACAGTGCCTGCTGTCAGCTGGCAGCAGCGGGCAGAGGATGGGCACAGCCTGGGAGCAGGAGGTGATGTTGGCTCTGTGATTCCCCACCCCCATACCACTTCTGTTAGCAACACAGGAGGTGCCCAGCAATTCACTCACGGATCACTCGCTCATTCCTCTTAGTGGTGGGCCTGCAATGTCAGATGAGACCTGTCCCAGGACCTTTGTACTTGCGGCTTTCACTTCTAAAGTGCTCTCATGCAGCTATTCACATGGCTCCTTATTTTTCTGGTTTAAATTCAGGGACCACAGTAGGAGTGTGGGGGGCATGATGTCTTCTCTGTGACAGAGACCTTCTCTGGCTGCCTCACATAGTAATATATGTAAAGTGCCTCCAACAGCCCCTGACACTCAGTAACTACCGCAGAAGTGTCCAGACCTATTATCTAAATTTGCAGCCCCTCTCCTTGTCACTTAGCTGCCCTTTCCCACTCTATTTTCCTCCCCTGCACTTACCCCTTCCTGAAATTACTTCACATTTGCCTACTGTGTGCCATCTGCCTTCCACTGGAGGGTGAGCTCCACAGGGCAGGGACTTTGTCCCAGTCACTTTGGACCTCCAGAGCTAGCGCAGGGCTCAGCTGGTGTCCAGGGCCAGGACATAGCCTCTCTGAGCCTTGCTTTCTTCACCCTTATAAAGGAGGTGATGGCAGCCCCTGCAAGGCTGAGAAGCAGATGGAAGGAGGGCAGCTCCTGCCAGGGCCCTGTGGTGCTGGTGAGGGAGCCGCAGTGATGTCACGGTTCCTAGAGCTTAGCCTGAAAAGCTGGCTGTGGCTGCCGGTCAGCAGCCATGCTGGGCCCAGGGTGTCAGGACTTGGCACCCATCAGGGCTTTTCACACCCAGCTGGCCACTGGCCACCTGAGTCAGCACGAAGGGGTGGCCCAGCCGTCTGGCTTGACCCAGGAGGCTGCCCAGCATTGGTAAGCATCCTGGGGGTCGCCCCAGATCCTGACATCAATCTGTCCTGGCCTGGAGGGGAGCTGAGGGTACTAAGCCATGCAGACCCCTGTATGAACCGCCCCCTCAAAGCACATCCTTCGATTCATTCCCTCAAGAAATATTCATGATTAGGCTTCAGGAAAATGCAAATCAAAACCACTGGGAAATACCACCTCACACTCACTAGGCTGGCTAGAATAAAAACGACGCTAGTATTGCTGAGGAGAGAGGAACTACATACAACCCTGGGATACTGCTAGTGGGAATGCAAGACAGCACAGCCAGTTTGGACAACAATCTGGCAGTTCCTCAAAAGGTTAAACATAGAGTTACTACAAGATCCAGTAACGCCACTTCTAGCTATATGCCCAAGAGAAATGAAAAAGTAGTCCACGTGAAACTTGTATACAAACATGCATAGCAGCATTCTTTATAATAACCAAAAGGGGAAACAACCCAAATATCCACTGATGAAGGATAAACAAAATGTGGCATAGCCATACCGTGGAATATTATTCAGTCCTAAGAAGGAATGAAGTACTGACAGAGGCTGCAACGTGGATGAGCCTTGAAAACATTATGCTAAGTGAAAGAAGCCAGACATGAAAGGTCACACATTGGATGATGCCATTTATCTGAAATGTCCAGAAGAGGCAAATCCCTAGAGACAGAAAGTAGATTAGTGGTTGCCTGGGCCTAGGGCGGAGATGGGGAAATACGGCGTAACTGTTAATGAGAACAGGGTTTCTTCTTGGGGTGATAAAAACGTTCTAAAACTGATTATGGTATGGGTTGTACTATTGTGTATATATTAAAAAACACTGAATTGTACACTTTAAATGGCTGAATTATACATCCCAATAACAACAGCTATTTTATTCATAGCTTTATGAACAAAGCTATTTTATCCATATATTTAGGAAGTGCCTACAATGAGCCAAATGAGCAAAACAAAGTCCCTGCCCTCTTGGGAAGCTAACAGGGAGGAGAAAATGGGAACATATAAAAGTGTCATTTGACTCATGGTGATAAGAAAAATAGAGCAGAAGGGAAGAGCAATGGATGGGGCTGGAGCTGCTTTAGACGGCAGAGGAGAGGCACTGTGGTCCAGGAGGGCCATTCTGAGGTGGTGATATTTGAACAGAGACCTGAGTGAAGAGACAGAAAAAGCCCTAGATATCTGGTGGGACAGCACCAGAAGAAGGAGCAAGTGCAAAGGCCCTGTGGTGGGAGTAATATAGAGCAGTAGTGCTGGGGCATAAGAAGCCAGAGGGCGGTGGCAGGAGGGAGGTCAGAGAATTGATGGAGGCTGGATCCCGGAAGGCCAGGCAGGCTGTGGAGAGAATATAGCTTGATTCTGTGTGGGGTGGGAGCCCCAGGAGGAAGCATATGTTCTGATGAAGGTTTTCATGGGATCCCTCTGTCTGTGAGGGGAGAATGGGCTAGGCTGGGGGGTAGAGGTGCGGAGGAGTGGCCATGTGCTGGGTGTCATTCTGCCTGAACCTCCCCACGGGGACTTCTGTTGCCATTTAACTTAACCAGCTGTCAACCGGGAGAAAGGGCTTCCTACCTAATGACCAGTCTGAATTCCTCAGGCTCAACATCTCAGCCACAGACCCCACCCAGAACTCTGAAAACTCCCCCAGATTTCCAGGCTCAGGCTCCCTGGTGCTTCTGTCCCTTATGGCCAAGTGTCCTGATCCCCTGTGGGCCTTGCCTTAGCCCCACCACTGATTTCCATGAGAAACCCAACCTTGCCAACATTTTAACTGAAGACTCAGCTTCTTCATCTATAAAATGGGTGTAATCATAGTAGATACCTTAAATGACTGTCATCAGGAGTTAAATGAGTTAATGTATGAAAAAGTACTTGGAACAGTGCCTTGTACACAGTCGGCACTCATTAAACGTCGGCTGATATTATCACTGTGTGCCTGTATTATGACTAGTAAGGGGTATTGGGTAGGTCACAAGGGCAGGGGTGTCATGTCTTAAAGCTAATTCTCTTCCCTCACCCCACTCCCATCAGCAAATTTCCCTCTTGTCTCAGGAGGCATAATCCCACCCCCTTTCTGGGAGGCACTGGTCCCACCCACCCATGCCCCACAAGGCTCACTAATTTTAAGAGGTTTTGAGAAGCCATTTCCCCAACAGCACTGGGCCTCTCTGCGAGGAATCTGCCAGCTGCTAAAAGAATATGTTTTTCTGTGGGTTTTTTTTTTCTTTCAAGCAAATAGAAGCACAGAAAGAGAAATCTGACCAAAGTCACAAAACTTCAATGTAGCAGAGTTGGGAATTTAATCCACATCTGATGGTTACATCAGGTGATCAGAGATGGAAGTTATTGAGTGCCTATTATGTTTCAGATACTTTATAGGCATTGTCTTTTTAAAAGTTGTATTTTTACATAAATTACGTCCTTTTTTTTTTTGAAAAGGTAATACATGCACACAGTTTGAAAGTCAAAAAGGTACAAAAAGATATATAGTTAAAAAGGGGATCTCCCTTCTGTCTCCTTCCATTATCATTCAGTCCCCCTATCCCAGGGCAACCACTCTTCCCAGTTTCTTATGGATCCTTCCAGCAATAGGCTATAAACGGCAGATTCTGCTTGCCTACTAAGTACCCATCTCCCACCTTACTAACAGGAGTCCAATGTTCTTCTGCTCAGGTGGCAAAAATACTCATGTTCCCAGACTCTCCTGCAATCAGCTGTGCAATGAGATGTAGGTGGAAGCTTTCCACTCCCCCCAAAAGACAAAGCACCTGGAAGAGAGGACTTTGACTTTTTATCCTCCTTTTGCCCATTACCCCAACTTTCTCTTCCTGCCTGGAATGTGGATTTGATGCCTGGAAGCAGAGAAGCCGTCTTGAGACCATGAGGATCAAAGCCAGATGCTCAGAAGGGGGAAGAGGGAAGAAGGAAGATGCCCGAGCCCTCCAGCAGCTGTGCCACCACTGGGTCACCCAGCTCTGCACTTCTTGTCATGTTTGTCCAAGCTGTCACCTGTTGAATTTCCCATTCCTCCAGCTGATGTACTATGCGTACACAAACATTTATATTTATCTCTATCCTTTCTTCCCCACAAAAATGGTAGCATATACGACCCCTATCCTTCAGGATATTACTTCCTCATTTAATGATGTGTCTTGGAGGTTGTTATAAATCAGTACATACACAGTCGCACCAAACTTTTTACATAAATGTGTCAAAGCTGCCCCACAGAGCCTTTAACTACTCATGTCTTAAGCCACATTTCGATTGTTCTCAACTTTGCAAAGATTATCCAGGTACATATTTAATTTCCCTCATGTGAGTGTGTATCTACTGGAGTATAATTGCTGAATGAAGGGGCACGTACCTTTGAAATGTTGCTAGATGTTGTCAAATTGCCCTGCAGAGGCTGGGTCAATCTGCATTCCACCAGCAATGTACTGGAATATCCACATATTATCTCTAGTCCTTTCAACAACAACACAGGATAATTCCCATTTTGCTGAGGCTCAGAGAATTGTACGTGGCCTGTGCAAGGACACTGCAGGTAACTGGGTCTTGAACCAGGATCTGTCTGATGTCAAAGCTGTGCTTATGAACACTTACATGACATTGCTTCCCAGGCATGCTGGATTCCAGTGACTCTCAGCAAAACTGGAAGAGTGAATATTCTGTGCTTCAGAAGGGCCACTGGGGAGCTGCAGAGAGACCCACATATGTCCTAGGCTGGCTTCCGGCTTGGATCTGCCACTGTGAGCAAGTCCTGTCCCCTCTCTGGGCCTCAGTGTCCCCATCTGTAAAATGAACAGCTTGGAGGATGGCTACCATCCAAAAGACAAACAACAACAAATGTTGGCGAGGTTGTGGAGAAAGGGGAACCCTCCTACACTGCTGGTGGGAATGTAAATTAGTTCAACCATTGTGGAAAGCAGTATGGAGGTTCCTCAAAATTCTCAAAATAGAAATACCATTTGACCCAGGAATTCCACTCCTAGGAATTTACCCCAAGAATGCAGCACTCCAGTTTGAAAAAGACAGATGCACCCTTATGTTTATCGCTGCACTATTTACACTAGCCAAGATATGGAAGCAACCTAAATGTCCATCAGTAGATGAATGGATAAAGAAGATGTGGTACATATACA